TATATATATATATATATATATATATATATATATATATATATATTTTTTTTTTTTTTTTTTTTTAAATAAATTGTTAGTGAACAATCAAAAGTTGATTAATCAATTAAAGTACCATGAATTTCAACCTCTTAATTATTGTTATATTTTAAAATATTTATGCCTAGTTTTCAAGTGAATTGAAAACCTTTGGTAAATAATATTACAGTTATTTATCAAATTAATTTTAATAATTATAAATAAATAAATAAATGTAAGTAAATAATATTATTTAAACTTATAAGTAGCTTAATTCATATTGTATGTTTTTTTTGTTTGTTTGTTTTTGTTTTATATGCTTTGTTTATTTATTGAGTTTTTGTATTTACAATTGACAGTATTACCCCATTACCCTTCTCCTACCACGGCACTGAAAGAGAAAAAAAAAACAATATATACCTACACACATACACATACATATACATAGTTAGAAAGAGGCTTGGCAAAATCCAAAGAAAAAGATAATATAAAAAGTGGTACATCCTAATGAAACTAATACAAATTTTCATTTCAGTTCATCATAATTTGTATAGCGCTTTTACAATGTAGATTGTGTCTAAGCAGCTTCACATAGAAGATTTTATTAAATTTAAACAGTGTCAATCCAGTTTTCAGTGTTAAAGTTCAGTTTAGTTTAGTTCAGTGTGATTTAATATTCACTCCTGAAAGTTAAAACACTGAAGAGCAAATCCATCGATGCGCAGCTCTACAGGTCCCAAACCATGCAAGCCAGTGGTGACAACGGCAAGGGAAAAACTTCACCATTTGGCGAAAATGAAGAGTCAGTTGGGCATAACCATTTCTCCTATATGGCCAAACGTCTTGTGCAGTGCTTAACAGGACAAATAATCTAGAATTACAAAACCTTCCAGATATTTCTAAGTTACCAATAAGGCAATACATTGTCTCATATTTTTTTGTCAATATGTTAAAGTTGTGAGAGTTTTAAGTTGGCTACTTTATTCTAAAGGCCAGGGGGTTCAAAGTATTTAATGAAGGGGACCCTTAGTCTAGGAACATGCATTTCGAGCCTCGAATCATGTGTAATCTTTTCCAATTAAATGTAAGACATCTCTTTATTTATTCAGCTAGCGTCATTTCGTACTTCCAACCACTCTTTTCCACTTGAATACTATTAAACGTCTTGCTTGTTGTGTAGTGATAGCAATAACAGAATATATATTTTTACTGAGATCTACATCCTAAGGCAGGACACCAAAAATGTTTATCAAGAGATCCGGGTCAATTGGGATGCTATATATCTGTTTGAATCTTTCAAAACCCCCCTTCCAAAACTCCTCTAGCTTGGCACATACCAGAGCATCTGAGCAGTGGTAGCAAGTGATTGTGTGCACCTACCACATGAAGGGCTAATTTAGAGTTAGCAAAATGTAGCCTTTGGAGAACCTTAAAATTAAACTAAACCATGTCCAGTGAAGATGAATGCACCTGAGTTAAACCATCCTATTTTAGACCTGAAAATTCTCTGCTTAAATCACTTTGCCAAGCTTCATAAATAAACTGCAAGTGCTGTGTATTTATTAATGTAATAATCTAATATATGCTTGAGATGAGTCCTCTGCCAAACTCAAGCAAATTGTCAATGGGGGATATAGGGGGTATTTCTTTAAAGGAAACAAATAGCTTCCAAATGGTGTGAGTCAATACAGGATTAGGGGAGGAGATATAATTATTTTCCCATTAGAGAGAGTGAAGTACAAAGAAGGGAATCAAATTTAAATTTAGATCAAGATTGTTCTCCTTGTATCCACAAAACAGGCATTTTGGGGATAACTAATATTTTACTTTCTGAATATTGCTTGCCACATAATAAAATAAAATAAAATAAAATAAAATAAAAAACAGGTAGTGTCATCCCTCCCTGACCTCTACTGCCCAGCTTAGTAAAATAAAATAGGTAATTGTTTAAATAGATATAAAAACTGTGGTAAAATGGATAGTGGACAAAAATGGCCTTGAACGATTAAATGATCTGGTGACTTTTACACCTAAATATTTGAAACTCTCAGAAACAATTCTGAAGCGGATAAAAGAAGAGTCTCTATAGTAATAGGGAAAAACTCACTTTTGTGTTTTTAATGTTTGGATTAAAGCCAGATAATTTGCAAAATACTTTTAGTAATGAGACCAGTTGATGCATTGAGGCGATTGAGCTTGATGCATATAGCAAATCATAATAGGCTTAAATGGGAAATCTTAAATCACTGTACCATGTCGCATAATGCCTTTAAAGTCAGAGAACTGACGAAGCACAGCAGCCAGTGGTTCAATTGATATTGCAAATAACAAAGGCAAGAGGGGACACTTGGTGGCTCTGCTTGGTAGCTCGATGCAATGGGAAAGAGTATACATCGTTTGTGCACACTGAAGCAACCGATAAAGCATACAACAGTTTAATCAGTGAAATTAAGTCTGTAGGATTGCCAAACTGTTTAAGAGTGTAAAAAAGGTATTCCCGCTCTAGTCTATCAAACGTCTTTTCAGCATTGAGAGATTGTTGCTTCTTGCTCACATGGTGTAGAATTTGTGTAAATTTAAACTTCGTAAATTGTTAAAGTAATTATGGCCACGAATAAAACCTGTTTGGTCAATAGAAATTATAGAAGGGAGTCGATTCAAGTGCGTTGTTCTCTATTTTTCAAAATAGACAAAGAAAGAGGAATAGGTTATATTGCCAATACTGCGTAGGCAGGAAGATTTATCCTTATCCAATAGCTTTGCTGCATTATCCCTAAATGCAAAGTTTAATTTAGGAAATCAATGGAATTTTGGTTGCATGTGATACTTCACACATTTACATGCACTGGTAGAGACTGGTAATGCTTTAGTACTTAATATTCTGGTCGCTTTGATATATGGAGCAATGAACCTAAGCGTACGAGGAGACGTCTAGCTTTCTATGGACAATACATCAAGTAAATAATGTCTGTAATTTCTATGGGCAGTACGTCAAATGTATGGACACACATATACTCACAACCCAAACAGCAGGTGAGAAGTGCACCAGTCACCGAATCCAGCATATGGGTTTTCAACTTACCGCCATGTTCTGTCTTATATGCACTGTTTACTGTAAAAGTTATTTGTGGCTCAAATGACAGCTTTTTGTATTTTTCTGGCTCTGAACTGTCAAAACTTTTCTCAAAGTGCTTTTTCAGATGTGAAAAATTGAAAAAATCGAATCCGGTTAAATTTTTTTAATGATGGACGAAAGTTTCAGAGACAGTTTGTCGTATTTATTTTTAATGTGCAAAAAATTATGAACGAAAGTTTTGGATTTAGTGTGCAATAACCTTTAGTCAATTAAAAAAAAAAAAATCTAAAAATGCAGTATCGTTCGGAAATTCTGAGGTAAATAGGGTGGAGTAAAAATGGACAGATTATTATATTCAGAGTTAAGACTTATTCTTTCTTTATATAAATGAGGGCAAAAAGAGATGGCATACTGTTCATCCAACTTATTGATAGCTACTGCAATAAAGCTGAAAAGAAAAGAAAGTTTTTGCTTTTTCACACATGAGAAGCAATCAATTTGCCACACAAAATAAGCTTTTATTACATCCCATAATATACAGTAGGTGTGCCAATTAACTTCAAATAAGACTTCATCTCATTGGTTAAGTATTAATAATAATAATAAATTCTTTATCTGCCAAAAGCAGAGTTTAGTCTACAGGGCATAAAGGAAGAATGCTGAAATGGTTATATACAAAGGAAGAGGGGGCATGATCGGATAAAATAATGCCATGATGTATACTAGTTGAAAGCAGGGGTATGGGACGCTTGTTCACTAAAAAAGTGAATGTGGCTGTATGAGTTATGTAACGGAGAAAAAAAAGAAAGTGTTCTGGAGGAAGGGGAAAGAAATCTCCAAGGGACTAATAACCCGAATTGATTACAAAGACTCAAAGACAAATAAAAATAAAAAACACATCAATCGGATCAGATCTTATCTGATCAATGCAAGGTACAAAAAAATAAAAAATTTTAATAAAAAAACAAATAAACAAACAAAACAAAATTTGTAAAAAACCCCACCTCCCCCACCTATGCATACACGCTGGTTCACTAACAACCACAACTCACCAGCTTATGTTTCTATTCTAATGGGACTAAATTACTAACACAAAGACATACACACACACACACACACGCACACACGTGGAAGAGACACAGAATAGTATAAGACTGAAATATGAATGTTTAAAGTGACAGTTTATAGAATAATATATTATAAATAACAATATAATAATAATATAATTTTATTAGAATATTTAAATTATCATAACAGTTCTAAAAAAAGTTGGAATAATTTAATTTAATTGATTAAAATTAAAATAATTATTGTTTTATAGAATTACATAATTATAATTTAATCTAATTACAGGTACTATTTTATATAATTTGATTTATTTTATAAGTATCTAATTATCCGAAATATAAAATACATATTATATACTGTAATTATAATTTAATTTCATTACAATCTAATCATTGGAAGTATAAATAAAAGGGGTGTGGCTTAGACCTGAAGTTCCACCCATAAGGGACGAGCTTAGACTGGCAGTCATCAATCATATTAACAGTAGCAGGAATATATTTTATCTGCTTTGTAGGCAGAGGTACAGACACACTGTGTTAAGTCAAACCGGACGCCCCATGACATCATGTGAAAAGGGTCTATTCCCATCAGTAACATTAATTTGTTTTCAAAGCTAAAAAAAGCTGGAATACGCTATATTGTGTTTCCCTTAATTTGCTGTCTTGATGAGTTTTTGCAACTGTGCTGTGCTACAGTTGTTAATTTTGCACATATCAAATTTATTTTGCAATGTGTGCAACCTTTTGTTACTTAGTTATTGTGATTTTTTTAAAGGTTCTTCTTCAGAATTTGTGCTTCATTTAATGTGTTTTGTTTACTTTTAAATTGTTTTCTTTTACAGGAAGAGGAGTTTTATGTGTGTATATACGCAAGCCGGGAGGGCAGTCATGTTCTGTTCCATCATGAGGGTGGAGTGGAGATTGGAGATGTGGACAACAAAGCCCAGAGACTAACATTGGGAATAGATGAGAAGCTCATGGAAGAAATAGTTACCCAGCAGTTACTTGTACATGTTCCTGATGACAAGAAAGAGTAAGTATTTTGAGCAGCTTGAAGTGTTCATGTATCAATTTCACTATTAATCAAAATATTTGATAAGGCCTTTTCAGAAGGTACTAATCAGTGTTAAGACAATGCTTTTCTCTGCATTTGTGTTTACTCTTAATTCCTTTCCAATTTCCTTTTCAATTTATATATAAATAAATTAATATTTTCATTCCTCCAGGGCTGTAGTTGACCCTATGAAATTTGTTGATTATTTCGTTGATTTGTGAATGAAAATATTACTCCTAATGCGTACTTTTCTTTCATGTTTAAATGAATGATTGTTAAAACAAAATGAGTATAGTAAATCTCCAATAACAATATGCCTTGATTTAATGTTTAATGCTGCAATCACTTAATCACTCTGTATCACTTACTACCAGAACTCAAACGAAGATATTTTAATCAAATCCGAAACTTCTTTTGAATTCTATTTAACCAAATATGACACTTTCATTTACAATATGATGACATGTTCATTTACATCAGGGTTGTCCGATCTCGGTCCTGGAGGGCTGGTGTCCTGCAGAGTTGAGCTCCAACTTGCTTCAACACACCCGCCTGGAAGTTTCTAGTATATCTAGTTAGAGCTTGATTAGCAGGTTCAGGTGTACTTGATTAGGGTTGGAGCTAAACTCTAAAGCTGTGGTCACATTAGAGTTTGAGCTTGCAAAATTCTGTCGTAGAGCTGTGCGAAAAGGGGCAGGATTAAACAAGATGATCAGACATTTAAAATGCGAGCGATTGCTCCAGATTTTAAATTCCTGTCCAGAGAGGTCATGCTTTGATCCTCTATTGGTCTCAAGCAGTCAAGTGATGCGATTTCGCTGGTCAGAGTTCACGAAGCTTGAACTTTGCACCGCAGCAACCTGCGAAACTTGACGCATGACCCTGTGTTGTTCTGTGCAGCATAAACTTACCTGTCTGCACCTCCGCACTGCAGACCCACTGAATGCCTTTTTGGCTCTAAAAAAAAAAGTTGTCTGGCCAGGTTTATAAATGTCCTAAATGTCTGGGATTCGGCTTTTTTGTCAAAAATTTAATTATGTTTTGTTTGTCACATATAGTTAATTATGTGATGTGGGTAAATGGTGTGTTTCAGTCCAGCTACCACCTTAAGTATATTTCAAACCTATGGGAAGCACTGATAGTATTGTATGTTAGGGCTTAACTTTATTCATAAAATAAGATTACAATAAAAAAAATTGTTAAATGCTATAATCCAGTTTTTTACTCGCATACATAATTTTTTCCCATTTTTGTATCATTGCATTTGTAACCATTTACAAATTTTGTGACCATTTTTTTTTTGTAATAAAAGAAAAAAACAACAATTTAGAAAGCTTTCTGATTCATTCTGATTCATAGCAGAAAGCTATCTGATTCATTAGTGATAAAAGTCATTTCAAATTACAGTTTATAAATATAATTAAACTGACTTAAAAGTGACTTGCTAGAACAAAGCTACGACTTGACTTGATGTGACTTGAAATAAGCAGTGACTTTACTTGACTTGAGTCTGACAAAAAATGATTTGACTTGTTTGAGACTTGAAGGTTATCACATAAGACTTGCTTGTGACTTGCACATGTGTGACTAACTCCCACCTCTGGTGCATAGGATGCGCACTTCAGAATCTCGCCGAAGTAATAAGTAATCCGGGAACTTCTCGCATACTGATTATAGAATTCTATGAACTTGGACATACTACTCGGCTCGCATACTGATTTGAGTGTACTATGTAGTATGGAAGTATGCGGTTTCGGACGCAGCATAAATTTACATAAATCAAGCTGTTTATTTTGTTTCTTCTGTAGAGACACAATCACTTTTCACAATGAACAGATATAATCTTATTCACAACTAAACATTGATCTGTAAACATAATATGCACTGTTGATATGCACCAGACACTTACAAGGACCCAAAACAGATAACAAATGTTTACTTGTGAATCAACAACAAATCTTGCACAATATTGTACAATCTTAGGTTATGTGTTTTTTGAACTCTTATACTATGTGTATAGTTAGATTATGATTCAGTAAGTTAAAATGTATAGGTTTAAAATTGCTCTTATGTCCAGCGTTATTCCCATTACTGGGAAACACCCATACACTCATTCACAAACATACACTACAGACAATTTAGCTTACCCAATTCATCTATAGCGCATGTCTTTGGACTGTGGGGGAAATCAGAGCACTCGTAGGAAACCCACACAAACAGGTAGAGAACATGCAAACTCCACACAGAATTGCCAACTGACCCAGCTGAGGCTCGAACCGGTGACCCTTTTGCTGTGAGGCGACATCGCTATCCACTGTGCCACCGCGCCACCCACTATATGCTTATTTGTAATAAAAGCCTAAATGTAATATATATTTTTAAATAATGTGTTTTTTGTATAGTTGTCCTTAGTTAATCATGGGAGTTACGTTCTGAAAATAACCTGCAATAGGCACAATCCACAAAGCTAAAGCAGACTCCATCCTTACAATGGTTGTGGACAATTACAACCCTTTTTGTATCTGTTGAAACGTATTGCTGCTGTCGTCCTAATGTTATTTTCCCCCTTCTTTATATAACGAACTGAAGATTCATTTATTTTGTAATGGCTCCTATGGCCGCGTAACTTCCACCTTTTGTATGTCCTGAAGTACAACATTTTATGCGATAGTTAGCATCTTCCACTGACTTTTGTGTGCTACCGCAGGTGCCTTTGGCAGTGCAGAATGTTTTGTCAACATTGTAGGGTTCGTTGTGGAGTAAACTTGCAAATATAAAGTGCAGCACTTCAAAGTAGCACTACTAGCGATCAAAGTCACACTGCTAGCTTTTCGAATCAATCCATAGATTTTCAGTAATGTTTAAATCTGGTGACTGAGATGGCCTTTTTAGAACATTGTATCGTGTCTGAGCATGAATTCTTTAGTAGATCTGAAACTGTGCTTTGGGTCATTGTCCTGCTGAAGCATCCAACCGTGTTGCAACTTAAGCCTCTTGACTGAATCATTGTCCTTAAGAATCTGCTGATTCTGGGTGGAATCCATGTGACAACTTTAACAAGGTTTCCAGTACTTCTTGCCACACATCCCCACAGCATGATGGACCCTCTACTATATTTTACATAGGGAGCAGGTTTATCTGCTGAAATGCTGTTCATGCAAAGCACCTGTGGTTGTGACCAAATAACTCAATATTAGTTTCATCTGTTCACAGTATATTTTTCCAAAATGTTTCAGGCTTGTCCAGATGAGCCTTTGCATACCTCAAACAACTCTGCTTGTTGGCAGAATTGAGCTGTTCTTTGTAAAGGGTGCGCAGGACTGAAAGATGTTCCTGGAGCTCTTTGGGGGTGGTCTGTGCGTGACCATTTAAACCATTCTTCACCTTTGCCTTTCAGATATTTTTCTTGCCCCACCACATCTTTCCTTCACAAGAACTTTTCCTGTGGCCTTTCATGTTCTTACTTTATTTCTGACTGTGGAAATAGAAACTTTAAATCTTTGTGATAGCCTTTTTATATTCTTTTCCTAATTGATTTTGATGAATTATCCCATGTTGCTACTTTTTGGTTCACAATAAGGAGAAGCACTACAAGCAATCAGCTATCTTAAATATCCATAGATTTTTTTTATTTTTAAAATATCCAGATCATGACCAGTTGAACACATTTGCAGCAACTAGATGCAGAATTTATGTATTTAAAGCTAAAAAAAATTAATTCAATCCGTCAATGAAATATTAGGGTTTATTATGTTAAACATTGCATATATTTTCTTAGCATAGAAAATATAGCAACACAGGCAGACTGAGCAAACTTGAGCTTCAGCAAATCTACTGATCATCTACGGCAGGGGTCCCCAAACTTTTTTTTTGAGAGGGCCACAAAATTTTTCCTTTTTTTTAATAGGGGCTGGTTAACTTTACAGAATAAAAAAAAATTACATGGTTCGGAGTGACTACTAGTATTATTATGATTTTAACTGTATGTAATATACCTTTTAATGCTTGAATAGTTTATTATTTTGTAATGCACAGACAACTTATAATTTCTTTTTAAGCGGTATATTAATGAACTTTATTACAATTATAACGACTTTTTTATATTCACTGCTTTTCAAATTCAAAACATTTATTTTATTAACGATGGTAAAGCATACCGCTTATTAATGCAGACAGATCATGGCTTCAGTGCCAAACGAGTGGTTTAAATCATATGTTATTCTCCTTATTTCCGTTTTATTTTTAAATAACAGACCTATGAATGTTTAAAGTTTTAGGTAAAGATGTCAAATTATGCCCACACATGCAATCTGACCCACGATCAGACCGGTAGAACCGGTTTAACTTTACTGGTTAATAAATATAGTGAAATCAGCTTAACCGAGTCATCTCGCTACACGTAGCCTATTATCCAACCCACATCAGTGTTAGGGAAAAGCTAAATGTTAAAATCTAATGTCATTCAAAACAATTACTTGGTTACATTTTAAGGCATTAGTGTAGCCAGAAAAATACCTAAAGAAGATACCAAAATTCACATATGTTATTACCGTGAAAATTGGTTAATTTTGGCACGGATAACACGCAACTCAATATGCTATATAACTTTTTTTTTCATCATTTTAAATGTAAAAACAAAGCTTTATCTTAGGCTATTATAAGTGTGTTTTTTTTCGTGAAATTGTAAACCATCATAAACCATTAGGTTACTAGGCCTACCAGTCATTTGGTTATGAATTATTTTATTTATTAAGCCTTTTTTTAATAGCTTGTTTTCAGGTTATTTTTTTATTGTAGGGCCATGAGCTACAAGTCAAAACAAATTCGATATGTTGTATTTTAGCTCTTAAAATAGATCTACAATATATTTTATGTTGTTTAATTTTGCATGAGCAAATAGCAGTATAGCCTAAATTACATATTTTCAAAAGATTATCATTCTACCTACCTGCAGCGCACGTGAGAGATTTCTCGGTTGATCCTCGGTAAATCCACTTAAGCAATATATTCCATTTATAACACTGCAAACTTGACTTCGCAGGCAGATCATCTTTAAACGCAAAAGGCATTTATTATGTGTTATACCCTGACTGCTGCTGCATAATGTGGTTTCTCTACACAACTGTAAAAGTGCGCTTTTTAGCAAAATGAAAGCAAACATTCAAAGGGTTCTGCGTTTTGTCAATTTTAGCTTTATTGTAATAATATTAATAATAATATTAATAAATAAATTAAAATATTATTTATAGTGTAGACTACTATGGGACTGTGCAGTGATCTATTTATTTTTATTAAAACATTTTTATTAGGCTACGTCCTCCCGAATAACTAATAAATGACTGGCAGTTGCGTCTCTGCTAAAATTAATTTAACAGCAAATTTCTTATGTGTTTTTTCCTTTTAGAGCTCAAGAGAGTTGTGTTTAAATAATTAGTTAGCCAAAACATGTAATGAATTAAGCTGCTCCTATCATGTCACCCGCCTCCATCGTCGTGTGCGCATTTTAAAGGCTATTTACGGGCGCACCTGACCTGATGCGGGGACCGGATCTCTGGACTATTGGACTAGCTTTAAACTCACCATTTTAATAATTCAATTGCTATGTCATATGTTTTAAAATATTTAAATGTGTGTTCTGAAGGTTGGAACGACGGGGGTGTTAATAATTAATGACTTTTGATTTTTCAGTTTTGAGTGAACAATCCTTTATAAAAACTGGGGGGGCACAAACTCTTTTTCGAGGGGGCAAGGCTGGAGATTCGTCTGGAGATTGTACTTGCTGACAGACTAACTGTATTTAAGACGTATTTTTTATGGGGACACAACTCCTCCGCAACAGCATTTATACATTTTCTGACAAACTCACCATTATTGAACGGCCTACCGCTAGTTGCAATAAGTTTAGCTTATTTAGGTTTGGTGCACATATGTATTCTGTTGAGCTGATAGTACACTTTTTAACACTTTGTCTGCTCTCATTTGGCCTTGCAAGCTTGCATACTTCTGTCTGTGGTGGGTTTCATAGTGTTGGCACAGATTGTATTCTTTGAAAACAGACAGTTTCTTGACAGATGAGACAAAAAAAAAAAAATCACTTGTCCACTTTTGATTAAATACCCTGCTCTATAAATCAACCTTTCTCTTTCCCAACTGTATGGCCATTTTGTTGTCGCTTTGAGTTTTCTAGCTGGGTCACGCATCACCTGATCGATCTCATCGAAACATTGTTGAACATACCATTCTATTAATAGGTGAATCTATTAAATAATTAGGCTACGTTGATAACTAAGTGTTTGATTTTAGTTTGAAAGCCAATCTTTTTTTCTTTTTTTTAAATCAAATACAAACATGATATAAGTAAATCATATATCAAAATAAAATTTTCAAAATATGTCTCTGGCATTATTCGAGGGACAGACCAAATGAGGAGGCGGGCCGAATTCCAGTTTTATAATGGAAAATGTATCCCGTAGATCCCCCTAATCTACAGGATACATTTTTCAGTATAAAACTGGAAGATAGGAATTTTGTATCTTGGTTCTACAGCAGGGCTCTCTGACATTTTTTCATATGCTGCTTTTTAAAAACTGAAAGTGCCTAAGAGCTACTCATGTCACAGCCACAATACCTGTATATTTAAAATAAATTAAATATCATTTAGGCTATAATGAATCATACATCTCAAATGAACAAAAATCCAAACTGTTTCACAACCCAGTTTTTTGTGCCCTTTAAATGGGAAAAGAATAGAATCTTCTTTCTTTTACAGAAAATAGTACAATAGAATACTGTGTTGTCAGCACAAAAAAAAAAAAAAAAGTTATATACACATTTGAAGCAAATTAACTCTCAACTTAATAAACATCAAAGCTTAAACAGATTTTTTGTGAGGTTTTTAAGCTTTAAGATTTCAGTTTTAATGAAGTTGTAATCTTGGCAGTTTAATTTATTTTAGTCTTATTTTTTTTACCAAAGTTTCTAAAGTAGGCTAAAAATAATAAAAAAATAATAATAATTTTTTTTCTATTAAATTTCAAGAAAGGCATTCTCTGTAGTTCTGTTTACACCCCCTGCAATAAAATCCTGTATAAATGAAGGTAAGCATCTAACGTTATTTAAAATGGATAATGTCATGTGGTGCATCACTTTGTGTGTTATTTAGACACAATGCAATAGGTGTAGCAACTGATGAGATCCGGGGTAAAGGAAAAACGATGACAATGACATTGAATGATACGCTTAAGTTTATGTTGTATTATTTCCTAACTATGATCAGCTTGTCAATCTTTCCATTTATTGTGTAAAAACCAAAGTATTCCCAAACCGTTAGATTTATGTTGATATTTGCCCTCTTCATTGCTTTCTATGTAGCTGTTTATTATCCAAAACACAACAAAAAGGCTGTTGTAAGGGCGCAGCTGATATACATGCAAGTGATTTAAAATCTTATAGTTTTGACATTATGCATTGACATATAATTGAAACTTGTTTGTTTCTTATATATGAAATTAATTTTGGACAAAGACAAATGATTTACTATTTAAGTTTCACGTTTCAAAATCAATGTAAATGGATCAGAAGGATTTGTAATCTTTGTATCGAGAAAGTGAATAAATGTTACACCCCTAGTAGTATGCAAATAAATGTCTTATAAAATGGTGTTCAAATTCACATTGGTAGCATTTAACACTGAATAAAGCACATATTAAGTACCTGAGGTAATCAAGGCAAGTTAAGTTTAGGCAAGGCAAGTTTAATTATATACCACAAAATATGTTTTAAAGGAACGAAAAAGAAAAGAAAGACAATAGTGCGATCTGTCAGACGTAGCACAGTGCTTGATCAGTAAAGGCACAGCTAAACGTGTTTTAAGTCTTGATTTGAATGTACTTAATGTTAGAGCACATCTGATCAATTTAAACATGCATAAACATAGTAGCTGAAGGCAGATTCACCCTGCTTTGTCTGAACTCTTAGAAATTCTAATTTACCTGGTCCTAATGATCTGAGTGATCTGTCACGTTTGTATTCAGTGAGCATATCTGTAATGTATTGAGGTCCTAGGCCATTTAGTGATTTATAGACAAGTATTAACACTTTAAAATGTATTCTGAATGTCAATGGGAGCCAATGTAAAGACCTGAGGACAGGTGTGATGTGCTCTGATTTTATGGTTCTGGTGAGAATCCTGATCGCAGCGTTCATGATGAGCTGCAACTGACTGACTGTCAGTGGGGAGACCAGTGAGGAGTCCATTACAGTAATCCACCCTGCTGGTGATACAAGTGTGAACAAGTCCTGTTTTAAAACGGCGTTTTAGAATGAAAATGATCCCCGTCCAGACTGGCGTTTCACCTAGCATTTCTAAACAGCTCTCCATCCACACTAAAAATTTACATCATGTGACCACACACACTCTGGCATGCACTACAGTGTATGCGCATGTCTGACCTCCTGGCAGTCAGTGGGTGCTGAGAGCACACCTCCCCAGGTGAGAGCAGCGCAGGTCGGACAGTTCATCAAGGATCTAACCATGTACAATGATTCTGCATATTGACTTTATTTAATATGTTGTATAAACTTATTGTATGTTATACTTTTATAATGGCCATTACTGATTATAAAAACTTAAATTCAGCAAACGAGACAGAAAAAAAAGAAAGGAGGCAGTTATGCTTTTTTATGTTTTTTTAAGCATGATGGTAAAACACGAACACAGTTATAAATGTATTGTGTTTTGCACTTAATGAAAGTAAATTAAATAATCCCAGTCAGTTAACACTGGCTATGTAAACCAGGTTAAAACAAAACAGGTAAAACATAACTTTTTGGCGAGTAATCAGAATTATGAAAGTTGCATGTAAACAGAATTGCTGATATCTCATTGTGTCATGAAACATCTTACAGAAATTTACTCCTTACTGTCTTCTGATTATTGGAAAATTATTGAATTATTTAACAATTTTCAGTTGCGTTTAAATGCTTAACTGTGTGGTTATTGTGTGTTGAGATTTGAGATTAGGTTGTCCAAAATGAAATACATAAATCAATGTTTCCTTTCTACAACTGTCTCATAGATTTAATAAGGATTCAACATATTATAGGGTTTCTAACATAGGGTGCTTGCCTTAATGTATAATCACAGTTACAAGAGAATAAATGTAACATTTACATCTAAAAAGACACTGAACATGATTATTAATTTACAGGTGTTTTATTGTACTTTTGTCTCCAAGAATTCTGTTCTGCATTAGTAAATCATGTGCTAAACATCTTATCTTCTGTCATCTTATTATCTTATCATCTTAAGACCTTATTAACTTCAGTCCTAAGGATCTACCGCTCAAATTTTGTAGGCTTCTCACGTTTAAAAACATGATTTATATATTTACCTTGTTAGCAGAGAGCTCCATGAACTGAACCATCTGTCAGAATAGACAGACATAAACACATGGAAAATGTGCAGAACAGTGGGTTCTCAGGAGTTGAGATCCACAGATCTGAGACACATTGCAGATGAGCAACATTCATTCGTGTTCAGAGAAATGAACAAGAGAAGACTGGGAATCATTTGATTTTTTTATCAGATATATTTTATAATTTTAATTTATTACTGAATACAGACATTTTTTAAATGATTGCAATTAATATCTAGTTTTTATTTGATGATGAATAGTCTTTTGAACTGTCTTTTTCAGAGTGCTGGCAAGCTTCATAGTGGGCCTCTTCAATTTGTATGAAGACCTTTACTTCACATATCTGGAGATCAACCCACTTGGTAAGTGCTTTTGTCTTTATTAAAATATTAGTTTTATAAAAGATTACTGAATTTTGCAACATTAAGCATTGTATATAAATCACAGGAATATCACAAGCAGATGAATGCAATAATCAATTAGAGAAGTTTACTGTACTAAAAAAGTATTGTATGATGCCAATCTAGCAATTATTTTTAATTTTTTCTTCCCCAGAAATGTTTAGCAAATGTGTACTACCTCATGATTTGCTTTTAGTATGGTCATGAGCCGCATTTCCACTGTTGGGCCAGTGCGAGCAAGGGCTTTTATCAGGGCGGGCCGGGCCAATCGCCCGGGAGGTAAATCAGTGATGCCCAAATAAAGGATGTTTCTAAATATGTGTTCTTCAGCAGGCTTGCGTCTTCTTGTTCTCGTGTAACGTCATTACTGCCAAAGTTCACTTCCAATACTCAAGACCGCAAGAACAGATGAAGCATGAAACTTTCCGGATATGTTCTTGATAGCGAGGACACACCGATGCAGACTTGGCACCAATCTTGCTCTAGAAGTTCCTGAAGTCATTGCGACTGGAGGTGTGAAGTGCAGCATTTTATATAGATTGATTAGAAAAAAGTTCAGATGATTTTCTTACCTCAGGAGTTTCCCTAAATGAAACAGTGAATATAAACATTACCATGAACATCTTAATAAAGAAAAAACACATTTGGGGGTTTATTTGCTGAAATACATATTAAAATCTATTTTATTTGTATTGTGCAACATATATTTAAAATGCTTTTATGAATAGTATATATTTTGAAAATGGGAAAAACAATAAATCGTTGTATGAAAGCTGTTATGTTTAAATATTATTCCATTAAAAACACATGAAGATCATGTGACTATCAGGAAAAACGCAGCATCTCATTTCTCACAGGACGCGTTCTGTCTTCTCGCGGTCTCCCAAGTTTGTCCTTCCAAGGACACCTGGCAAGACCAGTCTCCACAAGAATGCAAGTACGTTCTCTGCATTCTAGGAATTGAGAAACAGCCCATGTCGTGTTTACACTGTCAGGCTAGTAGCTCGCAGCCCGTCACGCAAACCCTGCCCCCAGAACATCCCCCGAATCAAACGTCACACAACCTGCCCATTACAGCGGGAACCAGGCAGATAAAGCACAATATCGCATCATCACAAAATGAGTAAAATGAAGATAACCGAAACAAACAAATGACACGTTACTGTACAGCATTACTTTATATGCCTATACGCACAAGCCTGTGTGTTTCCATTCATTATATTCGTTTACTCATCGACCGACTGTTGGCATTGTGCATCGAGTGGTCTCGCCATTATAACAGAGGGACCCAGCACAGTGAGCGCACCCATCCATAATATAAAACCACAGAAATTCTCCGGTAACAACTCGGTATGAAATGTATTTTATAACATTGTCATTTTGATAGACGTCATTAAACATTCAGCCCAAATGCTCCGGAGAGACCTAAAACATACTGTATAAAAAAGAAAATAGGCTAGGCTATATGACACTTAATAGGTAATTCCCCTTGATTTAAAGATGGGCATGTTACATTGTATTCGGTTATCTTAAGTAAAGGAAAGTGTTAAGTGTTTCAGCACATACTGTAAGAGCAAGTATTAATTATAGCCTATATTTCGTTGCGCTAAGCAGCTTTTCACTAATACACAAATAAACTTTTACCATGTCATATAAAAACATAAACACTTGTTTGAGTACATAGAACATATTTTGTATTTGCAGTTTTCCCCGATGCGTTTGTAAAGCGGCGCTGCGCAGGACTGGATGACAGAAAAAAGGTTCTGCTTTCACTCACCCCAAAAAATGCTCTGTTTGCACGATTTGATAAATATTATTTCAAACCTACTCCGATGTTTGTTTTTATGAAATATCTAAAACTTTTTTCAAATATGCCTTTGTAAAATTAAAGTTATATATGGCTTAAAAATGGTTTAATTTATGTATTGTATATACCTGCTTTGTTATAGCTAGCTTTTGTTTGTTTTATATTCGTTTATTTTATTTAATGGTATTTATTATATGCAGTATTTGAAATTCTTTAAATAATTTTAATATAGCCTAGACGATTTTATCAAGATATGACACTATTGTTTTGAGTCTACAAAAGTGGACACGTAATTTGTAAAGTTTTTGTATTTCTGTGGGGTGGGGTCAGATGCCATGCCTCCTTTTAAAAATCGTACATTTTCGTACAACTGAACTTGTACGAATTCGTACGAATTAACCACTAAACTGAAAAAACGTAAACTACTTTTCCTCGTAAGATCACGCAAAAACACACTTTTTAAGCTTGACAAAAACTCTCGATAACCGTTACTGGCTGCTGTGTCTTTGGCCCGATCAGGCCCCGGAAGTGACGGTGGAAACGTGACGCCCTGGCTCGTTTACTTTAGGCGCGATAGTGGAAACGCGGCTTTGGTGCCAAGTGTTTATCAGCCTAATAGTCTAGAACAAGAAGCTTTCTTTCAGTTGGCTGGTGCGTTATCAGAAGCTGCTGTACCATGCTTCTGAGGGTAACAGAGAATAGTTCATGTGAGATCCTCACTGGTGTCCTGTTGATTGTGATAGGAGTGTTCTTTTTTCTCTCTCCTGAAATCTACCTCCAGCTCCATAGTTTTACTGATGTTGAGTGAGAAGTGGTTTTCCTGACACTTTCACATGACAGTGTGCACCTCCTCTCTTTAGGCTGTCTCATTATTGTCAGTGATTAGTCCCACCATTGTTGTGCTGCAATAACATTGCAGCTGTGTCTGGATGTACAGTCATGTGTGTACAAGGAGTACAGGAGAGAACTGAGGACACAGCCCTGTGGAGCACCAGTGTTGAGTATCAGTGTAGTTGAGGTGATGTTCATTCTGACTATTTGGCATCTGCTTGACAGGAAGTTCAGTATCCAGTTGCACAAATAGCTGTTTTTAGGCCCAGAGCCTGGAGCTTCACAACCAGCTTGGCAGGCACTATGGTGTTAAATGCTGAGCTGTAGTTCACAAACAGCATTCTTGCAAATATGTTTTCATTTTTCAGGTGAGAAAGAGCAGTGTGCAAGATGAATTTTTAGTGCGGCAGTCAGGCATTTGTGTGTGTGTGTGTTTTTTTTTTTTTTTTGTGTGTATGTGTAAGTGAGCATCGGTTTTCTATATTACGTTTGTTCTCTATCACCAAGTCCTTATTTCTGTTTGGTATTTATTTATTGGGATTTAAAAGGGGTGCAAAGACAAGAAAATTGAAGGGGGAAAAAATTAAGGTATTCTAGAATGCTAACCATATGCGTTTTTTTTTTTTTTTTGTATTCATGCTTTTAGTGGTCACTAAGGATGGAGTGTATGTCTTAGATATGGCAGCCAAAATTGATTCTGCAGCAGAGTACATCTGCAAGCCCAAGTGGGGTGATGTAGAGTTTCCTCCTCCATTTGGCAGAGAAGCTTATCCTGAGGTACAAGAGAAAATAAAGACATGCCATTACACATAACACGTCTCTGAGAGTGTTTCATGTCTCATAATGTTGTGATTTTGTCCAGGAAGCATACATTGCAGATCTGGATTCTAAGAGTGGTGCTAGTCTGAAACTCACTGTGCTGAACCCCAGTGGACGCATCTGGACCATGGTGGCTGGCGGTGGTGCATCTGTGGTGTACAGGTTTGCCAGAATTCTTATACAAGCCCAAGTCAGAAAAAGTTGGGACTGTATGGAAAACGCAAATAAAAAAAAAAAAGTAGTGATTTCCAAATTTACTTTGACTTGTAAATTATCCCTTTCCTATTTGGTCTAAAACACAAGTCTTACATTTCTTCCAAAAAAATAGCTGAAATACTCAGATGCCTTCAAGCCCAGAGAAGTCGACGGCACTTTTCTACACTGTTCAAATAGGGCTCCATTTTGGCACAGTACAGTTTTCACTGACATTTCTGGATGCAAATATGTATTGTGGTACTTGACAAAGGTTTGCTAAAGTAGTTCTCAACTCATGTGGCGATTATAAATAATTGACGATTCATGATGCAGTGCCGCCGGCCTCGGATATCACGGTAGTTCTTCTTAGGCTTGTGCTTTTTGCCCTTAAAGCACTGAAATTCTTCAGTATTTTTTTTAATTATGCTATGCACTGTTAAAGGTGAAATATCTAAATGTCTTCCTATTTTCCTTTGAGGAACATTGTTTTCAAACTTTTCAATAATATTCTCACATATTTGTTGGCAAACTGATGATACTCGGCCTATCTTTGCTCAAAAAAAGACTAGACCTTTCTTGGATGCTCCTTATGTACCATATCATAATTACAATCACCTGTTAACATCACTTGTTTTAAATCACATTATTATTAAAACAATTTACCTGATTACTAGCCCTAAATTGCTCCAGTTCCAACTTTTTAAAAATGTATTGCAAGAACCATTATTCAAATCAGTTTTTTTATTTTGAAAAAAAAAAAAAACATGAGGCCCACATTAAATAATGCTTGTTGTATTGTCTTCAATGAAATACAAGACAAAGTAAATTTTGAAATTACTACTTGCTTTTTTATTAGTGTTTTCCATACTGTCCCAACTTTTTTTAATTTGGCCATAGTTAACATAAGATGAGTGTGGGTATTTTATAGTATAGAAAGGCATAATAAAACATGAATGAATTTTAAAGGAGTTTCAGAATTAACTTCCCATTGCCATTACAACAAAAACAGAGCAAACACTCCCGGTCACTGTAAATTAGTTACAATGAAGTGAGTTCTTTGACTGTCCCCACCCTCATTAAAAGATAAATACTGATTGATCAGAATTAGAACATGCTGTGATTGGTTTGCTGAACATGATCTAAATCTGGCCAAATCAGATGGTGCGTTGAGTGTTTGTGGGTTTTATGCATCTTGACAGATTTCCCAAAAGTTTTAAAATACACGTGTTCAGAAATCCACAACAGGGCAGGAAGAGATCCACCAATATGAACTAAGCAATTCACAAATAATGCCAGAAAAACTTATGTTTGTGGCAAAAGAAAACATACAGTTGAAGTCAGAATAATTTGCCATTCTGTTTAATTTTTTTCCCAATTTCTGTTTAATGGAGAGAAGATTTTTAAACTCGTTTTTAAACATAATAGTTTTAATAACTTATTATTAATAACTGATTTATTTTATCTTTGCCATGATGACAGTAAATAATATTGTACTAGATCTTTTTCAAGATACTTCTATACAGCTTAAAGTGACATTTAAAGGCTTAACTAGGTTAATAAGGTTAACTAGGCAGGTTAATAATTAGGCAAGTCATTGTATAATGATGATTTGTTCTGTAGACAATCGAAAAAAAAATTGCTTAAAGGGGCTAATAATTTTGTCCCTAAAATGGTTTTGAAAAAATTTTAAACTGCTTTTATTCTCGCCAAAATAAAAAAATAAAGCTTTCTCCAGAAGAAAAAATGTTATCAGACATACTGTGAAAATTCCCTTGCTCTGTTTGTCATCGTTTAGGAAATATTCAAAAAGGAAAAAAAAAACTCAAAGGAGGGCTATTAATTCTGACTTCAACTGTATGTAGATATTTTTTTTTTAAAGTCTTATTTAAATTTTTTTTTTGTTAATGTAATTTATTTTTTGTGAAAACTCCTTCATACATCTCATCTCATTCTGTTTATTTATGAATATGTTTATTTTTGTAAACTGGTCAATCTTTATTTGTTTAATCATAATGTATTTATTTCAAATACTAGCACAAAACCACAAAATCATCTAATTTTGTGAACTGATTTAATTTTCATACTACGTTGATCTGCGAACATAAACAGAACAGATAACAAACGTGACCTCGTTATATTTGTTTTAGTGACACTATATGTGATCTGGGTGGAGTAGATGAGTTGGCCAACTATGGTGAATACTCTGGATCTCCCAGCGAGCAGCAGATGTATGATTATGCCAAGACTATCCTTTTACTTATGACCCGAGAAAAACACTCTGATGGTAAGATTAATTCTTTTATATTCTAGACTGTCACATCATATTACAAATATACATAGAATATAAACCAGAAGTTTACATGCAGTCTAAATGAGGAACATAACCATTTTTTTTATCAATTTATAAACAGTCAAAAGTTTTCATACATTTTCTTGTTTTTTTTTTTCTTTTTTTTAGCTTTGCTTTTAAACTGTGTTATTTTAATTAAACTTTGGTCAAATGTTTTGGATATGCTTCCACAAGCTTCTCACAATAGTTTGAAGTAATTTTGGCCCTTACCTCCTGACAGAATTGGTTTAAGTCAGTTTTGTGGGCTGTCTTGCCCACACAAGTTTTTTCAACTATGCTCACAAATTTTCTATAGGATTGAGATCAGGGCTTTGTGGTGGCCACTACAAAAGATTCACTCTGTTGTCCTTAAAGCACGTTTTAACTAATTTGGCAGTATACTTACTGCCAAATAATGGTCTGTTTGGAAGACTCATTTGGGGCCAAGTTTTAATTTCCTGGCTGATGTCTTGAGATGTCTTCATTATTTTTATATAATGTTCTTTCTTCATGATGCCATCTATGCTGTGAAGTGGACCAGTCGCTCCGGCAACAAAAGCCACAACATAATGCTGCCGCCCACAACATAATGCTGCCGCCCTCATACTTCACAGTTGGGATGGTGTTCCTAGGCTTGTAAGCTTTCCACTTTGTCCTCCAAATGTAACACTGGTCATTATGGACAAACAGTATAATCTTAGTTCCATCAGACCACAGAACATGTCTCCCAGTGTAATTTTGCAAATTGTAATCTGGCTTTTTTGTTGATTCTGGCTTGTTGGTTTTCCCATGTTTTTACACAAGGAAGCAGTGTGTTTGAGGTTTTCCTTAAATACTAATCTACAGTTGTGCCTTCAGTTAACTCAAATGTTGTCAATTAGCCAATCAGAAACTTCCAAAACCTTGACACCATCATCTGAGCTTTTTCAGAGGCATAATAATTGTATTGTATGTAAACAATTTCTTTAAAAATATCTCATTATTATGCTATTGAGCATAACAGAAACAAATTTGATGATCTTAACTTACCTAAAAGAGAAAAAGTTTAGTCACATTAACATCTGACTTTTTTAAATGGTGCATTTTTATACAGTGTATGTAAACTTCTGGTTTTAACTGTATATAAAACCCCAAATCAGAAAATTTTAGGACTGTATAGAAATCGCAATTAAAAAAGAAAAAAAATGATTTCTAAATTTACTTTGACCTGTGTTTCTTTGCAGACAATACAACAATGCATCATTTCATGTGTTACTCATGATTTTTTATTCTTTTTTTAAATACGGATTCCAATTTTGGTTTTGGCAACACATTTTAAGAAAAGTAAACAGAACAGTAAAGGATTTACCTCTTTGTATTGTTGCCATTCCTTTTCACAACAATTAAAATATGTTTAGGGACTGATGACGCCAAACGATGGAGTGTTTCTGGTGTAATTTTGTCCCATTCCTCCTGCAAACAAGTCTTAAGGTGGGCAACAGTACGGTGTCTTCGTTGTCACGTTTTGCAATTCTAAATGCACCACACATTCTCTTTTGGAGTCTGATTGGGACTGCAGGCAGGCCAGTGAAGTATATTTACATTTAGTCATTTAGCAGACGCTTTTATCCAAAGTATATGTATACCCTTCCTCCATAATAAGCACTTTGTAATGTGTGCAGAATGTGGTTTTGCATTGGCTTGTTTAAATATGCATGGGCGTCCCTGGAAATAAAGGCTGCATATTTTGCTCAAAAATTCCTGTAAATTTCAGCATTAAAGGTACCATTACAGAAGTGCAGGTTACTTTTGTCAAGGGCATTGACACAACCCCATACCATGACAGAATCTGGGTTTTTTGACTTGTTGCTGGTAACAGTCTAGACAGTTCTTTCCTTCATTGGTCCAGAGCACATGGTATCCATTTCTCCCAAAAAATACTGTGTGATTGTCCATCCCAGATACCTGCAAGCCCAGGAAAGTCAACGTGCTTCTAGCACTTTTGGCACTGTAAAATATTTACTGCCATTTGTGGATGTACTGTAACTACATATTGTGGTACTTGTAAAAATTACATATTTCATGCTTTGTTTACTCTCCACAAATAAACAGGTAGCACATCATAATAATAATATAGATTAACTTGCACGCATATCCACATTAATAATCTGTGACATTATACTGTAGATTAAAGTGCTCGCATATCTACACCATTATTACTGTAGTAAATTAGCTCAAGGTTATTCTTCCTGCGCCTTTCCCGCCGTTATAATTTTGCGAGTTATGATTTAGATTTCAATGCTGGTGTACCTTCTGAAACATTATATAGCGGAATAGCTTAGCGGGAGGAAGATTCATTTGAACGGGGCTTCAAATGAATCGACTCTTTTGATCCGATCAAACGAATCGTTCAGCGATGCTATCAACATAAAATTTGAGCAGGGTAGCAAGATCAAAGTTCAAGACATTAGATTCATTAATATACACAGGCACCTTTCTTTATACAAAATTAAACTTTATTGACTAATCTAACAGAAACTAACACCTAACACAAATACACATTCATACAAGCATAGGCAAAAGTAACAAATGTGAAGAGGTTGAGAAGATGTAATGATGGGAGAACCTCTGAGTTTGTAAGAACAAACCAAGCAACCTAACGTAATCAAATTCAATATAACCCTTCTATTGTCTCTTTAGGGTTGAATTTTAGTTCACACCAGTTAAGATGTGGGTAGAAAGGTGATACTTGCGGTCTGTTCGTGATGTCCGAGCTCCCGTTTTTGAGCATGTGGTTGATTTTGCTCTTTAAATTTTATGCAAATCGGGACAGAAATGTTAAAGTCTCCTAAAACGTTAATATGTTGCACTCATATTAAAATAAAATGTCAACGATCGATTTGTACAGCAAGTAAGCTTTTCAAAAAGTCCAAACTTGAACAGTATAAGAGGATGTTTAGCCTAGGTACAGTTAAACATTATATGCAAGGGTATTAAAACCAAAAATATTAATACAAGAGAAAGGGAAACTTTGCAAAACATATGATTAAACATAAAGAGAGTAAACTTTATATGAAAACTTCAGTGTTAAACAAGCAGTTTAAAGAGTCGTTCTAAGTCGTTCCTGTGTTTAATGCCACATGGCACATTCCTTTGGGTCGTAAATACCTTGGAATCAGGTTTCGAGCCTTCTCTGGGCAAAGTTGGCTGGTTGTGGAATAAAATGCAAAATATTTATGTGTCTGGTCGGCCATATTCGTTACATACTTAACAAAGGTTTACCAAAGTTGTCCTGAGCACATGTGGTGATATCGCTTATAGATGAATAGCGATTCTTGATGCAGTGCTGCCTGAGGGATTGGAGATCATGGTAATTCAGCTTAGGCTTGTGCTTTACACACTGAAATTCCTCCAGATTCCTTAAATTGTTTAATTATACGTACTGTTGAAGATGAAATATCCAAATGTCTTCCTATCTTTCTTTGAGGGACATTGTTTTTAAACGTTTCAATAATTTTCTCACGTATTTGTTGTCAAATTGGTGATCCTCAGCCCATCTGTGCTCCTAAAATACCTTTTTTGGATGCTATTTTTGTACTAAATCATAATCACTTGTTGACATTACCTGGTTCAAATTACATCATTATTTGACCAATTTAACTGAATACTAGCCCTAAATTGCTCCAGTCCTAACGTTTTTTGAAAAGTGTTGCAAGAACCAAAATTGGAAAAAGTTTTTATTTTGAAAAAATTAAACAATGAGGAACGCATTAAATAATGTTCATTACATTGTCTGCAATGTACAAGTCAAAGTACATTAAGTAATCAGTACTTTCTTTACCATACTGGCCCAACTTTTTTTGATTTGGGGTTGTATTTTTCTCACACATTGGAGTAAAGACTTCATAAGTAAATATGATTAAAAATGATAGCCTTAAAAATATAGAAATATCAGAGATGTAAAAATCTGTAATCTGTAAAAATTCTTATCTTCTTAAAGGTATAGTTCATCCAGAAATTAAAATTTACTCCCACTTTACACCTTTACTCTAAACTTTACAGCTTTATGAGGTTTATGTTTCTTTATTCTCTTAAACACAAAAGAAGATATTTTTGAAGAAAGCTGAAAACCTGTAACTATTGTAACTACTGTTCTAACGGAAAAACAGTTACTATAGATAACAATGTTTATGGATTTCCATCTTTCTTCAAAATATCTTCCTTTGTGTTTAACAGAAGAAAAAAGTCGGGTGAGTAAATGATGACAGAATTATCATTTTTGGGTGAACTATTCCTTTAATGAGAAATCCTCTGAATTTCAGGAGTTGGTTTAATTTTTAGGTATGATGGGTATCACCAGGTAGAAGCAAAAATAAATGGAGAATAATTAGTTAATATGTTTGTTGGACTCTCTGAATTGTTGGCTAAGAAGGATTATTTGTTGTTGCTAATGTTGTCTGGATTATTTTGAATTCAATTTTTACAAATTTCTCTTCCTGACAAACTAATTCATAATCTTGAATTGACTTTGCAAGTTATTATATTCAGGGAGTAATAGTGCTGAATTTTACTCCAGTTCAATCTTTTCTCTACAGGAAAGGTGTTGATCATTGGTGGCAGTATTGCTAACTTCACAAATGTAGCAGCAACTTTTAAGGTTAGACTATACGGCTTGTTCTAGATATTGATAGAGTATTGACATATTCACAAGTTTTATAGCACATCATTTTTCTTTACACCATGTTTGCTTCATCAAACTCATCAGGGTATTGTGAGAGCTATCAAAGACTACCAGGAGCCTCTAAAAGAACATGAGGTTACCATCTTTGTGCGACGAGGAGGTCCAAACTACCAGGAAGGATTGAGAGTGATGGGGGAAGTTGGTAAGTATTTTTGTTTCAAGTTTTTTTCAGTGCACATTAAAATGATATTTTGATAATAAATTTAGTTTAATGAAAAAATGCTCAATGCAGTGCACACACTTCAATCTAAATGTGTGCTCAGCTAAATAACAAATATTCATAAGGGATGCAACACCAAAGCTCACCATCAGTAGAGCTGGCATGCTCAAAACGTCACATGCTTTGTGATAGCTTTTTTAGGTTAACAAATTAATATTTATAGAGCTTTGGTTTTGCCACCTTTATTTAATTTATTTTAAACACTTTTCTTTAACCCACACCATATCACATTCAGTATATAGGTTGTATGAATATTGACACAAAAACAGCTTATTGATTTTCTTTGGCAATATTGTATCAGGAAAATCGATTATTGCTTGTAATTTGTATGTATCGGTATCAAATTAATAATACTCATTATAATAAATACATTATTATAATCAAAATAATGCTCATATTGCTCAAATTTTTATAAACTTGAACCTACCATCTTTTTCTTATTTGTAGTATTAAATGTGTTCTGCAGTTTGTTTAATTAAAATAAATAAATCAATAAAGACGTATTATTGAAGAAGTGAATAAAATAATTATTTGTTTAATTTAATTGTTACGTGTAATTAACATAATATATAAGGGAGAAACAAAATGTTAATAGAATGTTGATTAGGCTGACGAGTCAACTGGGGGGTGGGGGGTGGTGTCATATGAATTACGGGAGTTTTCTGGGGGAAATAACAAAATGGGAGGGTGGTTGGAGATACAGTACACACTCACCGGCCACATTTATTACATCATTGTCATGTTCAAGAAACCAGTCTGAAATGATTCGCGCTTTATGACATGGTGCATTATCCTGCTGTACCCATCAGAATATGGGTACACTGTGATCATAAAGGTATGGTCATGGTCAGTAACAAAATTCAAGAATCATCAGACCAGGCAACGTTTTTCCAGTCTTCTATTGTAGTCTCAGTTTTCTGTTTTTAGCTAACTAGAGTGGCCCCCGGTGTGGTCTTCTGCTGCTGTAGCCCATCCACCTCAAGGTTTGACGTGTTGTGCATACAGAGATGCTCTTCTGTATACCTCAATTGTAGTGAGTGGTTCCTTTCTGGAAGCAGTCTGGCTATTCTCTTCTGACCTCTGGCACCAACAAGGCATTTGCACCCATAGAAATGCCACTCAATGGATATTTTCTCTTTTTCAGGCCATTCTCTGGAAACCTTAGTGAAGGTTGTGCATAAAAATCCTAGTAGACCAACAGTCTCTGAAATACTCAGACCAGTCCGTCTGGCACCACCAAACATGCCACGTTAATGTTCAAAGTCACTTAAATCACCTTTCTTTCCCATTCTGATGCTCGGTTTGAACTGCAGCAGATCGTCTTGAACGTGTCTACATCACTAAACTCATTGAGTTGCTGCCATGCAATTGGCTGTTTAGAAATTTACGTTAAGAAAGTTGGACATTTGTAAATAATAAACTGGCTGGTGAGTGTGCATATATCAAGGTATATTATATAAGACAACAGTGCTGCACAGATTTGCATGTTTGTGTAATTATAGTGCAGTCTTTGGGATATATTGATATCCAACTGGCAGGTAACACTATTTCTTATTCTTGACAATGATGGTTTTAAATCTCATTTGGCTCAGGGCAAATGTTAAATTTACAACCTGAGTGTATGGTTTTAAGGTATAATTTTCACATGCCGAAAAGGATATGTGTTACTATGCTTGCATGGAAGCAATTACATATCACACACAAATAATCTTATCTAATCTTTTTGTTTCTTTGTTTCCTTTTTGTTGCAATAGGAAAGACTACTGGTATTCCCATTCATGTCTTTGGCACAGAAACACACATGACTGCCATTGTTGGCATGGCACTGGGTCATCGGCCAATTCCCAATCAGCCTCCAGTGGCAGCACACACTGCCAGTTTCCTGTTGAATAGCAGTGCTAGTGCTGCTGTAAGTGTTTTCATATTTAGTCTGTATATTTAGGCCTTTTTTGATCTTTCAACCTAATAGTCTTTAGTTTAATTTTTTCTTTAATTTTTCTAGCTTTCTTTAAAAATAATTTAATTAGTTAATATTTTTAATTAACATTTTAACAGTAAACCTCTTAGCCAGAATGAAAAAAGAAAATCACTGCAATCAATTAAATTTTTAACTATGTAGATGTAAGTGTATAATATAATTCTTTATTTTCTGTGAATTCCTAATGCTGCATTTATACAATATTTATATAGATTATCGTCTACATTTACACTCATATTTTAGAAAATCTAAATTAATGAGATTGTTTTTACAAATACTGTAAAATACATTTAATTAGTGGATCAGATGTTTCTATCACTCAGAATGACCCTTCATTTACAATTTTGTTGACCAAAAATGCTTCCCTCTATGTATTAACAGAACATTAATCATTTTATATGAGAGGTATCATCCTGTATTTCACAAACCTATATTTCATGAAAGAAATGAAGAGATTGAACAAAAAGTCTGCATTTACCATAAAAATTATTTGTAGTCAAATATAGATTTTTTGTAAAAGAATAACTCAAATAAGCATTTTAGAATGTGGAATTGTTCTCATTTCTTAACTTTTTTTATCAGTTAAGTGATATTGAGGAATTCTATTAAGGTAGCAGAGTGTATATAAACATGAAGGGTGACAAAGAAAAAACTATACAGCGTGATTTAATCTTCTATTATTTTCTATTATTTGTGGTAAACTTTTTTGACCCTGTTCACACCTGTTTACAATGTTATCCACTTTTGATCAGATCAATGAAAACACATCCTAATACCAGATGCAAACAGCATCAACTTAAAGTAACTTATAAAAGGATAAGTGGTCAGATGCTGTCATTATTTTGGTGTGTAAGTCTTTCCAGTAGACATACTGTATTTGCAATTCAGTTAAACAGACAGAATACAGTCATTTTCAAAGTGACCTATGTTTGAGCAGTGCTTCAAAAGTAAACTATTCCTTTTTGTTTTTTCAGACACCACCAATAACTAGAAATACTTCATTGTCTGAACACAACACCTGTAGTGTCACAGATGCCATCACACCCACAACAGGTGCTCCACCAGGTATTTAAAGCTCAGTTGATGTATAAAACCACCAAAGCAACTTCATTTTCACTCGTTGCAACATAGGCTCATTCTGAAAACATAGTCCTACAGTATATACGTTTCTGGAGACCGCAAATTATGTAGCCAAATGTATGGCTGCATTTCGTTTTATTAAACAAACGCTAAAGGGCAGTATGACACCATTCCTTTTTGCACTTACCAGCTGACAGCTTACTTTCGTATGATAAATGAGTATTAGGGTGAGACTGTGGTAAAATCTGAAAACGTGGTAAAAATTAGACGAGGTCATTTTCTGGATTGCTTTTGAAAGTTGTTGGTTGGGTTTAGGCAAGTGGGTGGGCGGGTCAATTAATAAAATTGGTGGGGTTTGGGGAAGGAGAAGGGTGGGGCAGTCGATTAGTCAGTCAGTTAGTCAATCAGTCAAACAGTCAGTCAACAGCAGCCTCTAATGGGTTTATGCGAGAACAGCAAGGGCGAATGGCACTCGCAAGAGATATTTGAGATCTTAAAAAGTGTACACAGCGGCCTCTAGTGGATACGCGAAAACAAACACTGCAAAATAAGTACCTCCTGGGATGTATTTCACGGTCTCCAGAAATGTATATAGGGGTACGTTTTCAGAATGAGCCTGGGTTGCCTTCACCAGTTACTTTGCATTAATTTTGAATTTTGCATTTATTCTTTAACTGTAGTTCAGTTATAGGTGGGCTTAGTAAAATGTGTAAGCTTAACTGCATAAATAAGCATAGATTAATCATACATAATTAAGATTTGAGGTTTTATTATTATTATTTATAGGCAAGCCTAAATAACTTTATCATTGGACAAATCAGTGCAGTCAAATCATATTTTAAGAAAGCTATATTTCTACAGACTCCCCACTGTATGTAATAACACATCACACTCTCCAGGATCTTTTTGTAAAAGGCGGTCTAATGTTCTACATGTAAAGCATGTAAAAATAGCATTTTTATTATGGCTCAGTTTAGTGCAACTCTGCAGAGTTTCTTTCATTTGTGGTCAGATTTTGGTCTTTTTCATTTTTGAACAACAAAATATTTCCATTCATCCAGTCTATTACTGGGATGAGATCAACTATCAACTTTTACTGAAAGATTAAATTGTTTATGCCAGTGTGCTGTGTAAATAGATAAAATGTATATTTGAAATACAAAGCTATGTCAGTTAATAAAAAACAGGATAACACTTTATAATACCTACACATTTTAATCATTTATTGAGCATTAGCAAATGTTGAATTAATTATTTGTTAGGCATTAACTCTACATTAATATGATTTAGTAAGCAGTTTTTAACTGCAGCTACAAATGTTGCATTCTTGACTTATACATATTTATAATGATAAACATTATTTACAATTTAAACATCATTATTTACTAACCATTTGTATTTAAGAGTAGTTGGTGGTTTAAGATAATTCAGAATGAGTAAGTAAATGACTAACTATTCAAATCAACATTTATAAATGTTATTATTTAGGGCAGGCATATAGTAATGATTTCTATGTATGTTAGTAAATGCTTTATTAACTGCATGCAGTTTTGTGTTACCAAAAAGAAATCAACAAATAATCAATCTTGTTTAACTTTACATTATGAAATATTATGTACTTTATAGATTCATGTCAACTGTAAATACGTCACTGTAAAGTGTTTACCATTTTAAGTACAGTAAACATCAGTATGGCAGCTGTTTATGAATCAATCACTTGAGTTTAAGTAAGGTAAAATGTAAATCCAACTGGTTGCTTTGACAGACTAAATCCTCACAGGGTTTCATATAATTTCACTTGCCATTATATGGTTCTTGACACATTGTTGAATATTTAAAGACAGCATTTTGATTTGAGCTAAAATATTTTATTAGCTCTATTGGAGCAACACTTACACAAAGAAAACAAAAACTCCTTTTATAATCACTGAAACAGTAAAATGAGTGTAATATCTGCATAGTATCTGCACTCTATTTATAATTAATGAATTTGTGAGGGTTTACTAATAATCACTCCTTTACTAAAAACACTCCTTTAAAGTATCATACCAAGAATGATTATTCCCCATGAATCCTATGTTTATTATCTTAAAATCCATTACTGTATACAAAACTTTTGTTCCTGCACCAAAATGAACACTTAAATACAAACACACACAATCACTACACTGAAGGCATTTGGTTTCATTTTAAAATAGTGGTGTAAAATGGCAGCTGTTACGTTTGTATAAATGCACACTGCTCATTAGTGCTGGTTTAAAAACAATTAACAGCTTTTTTTAAGGCACTAAAACATTTACTTACTCCAACTTTAAAGGGTCACGAAACACCAAAACAAATTTTTTGAAATGTTGACTGTCATATATGTGCTCCACGCTGCTATAAACCCTATTAGGACACGTTTCACAAAAAAATGAAAATTGTTTGTTTTTGCGTAATGTTGAGCAAATTCGTTCTTCTGGTTTGAAATGAATTTTTGAAGCTGCGTCACGGCTATTAGATCCTTGCGTGTAATCCAGCATGGAGACTGGATGTCTGTAGCGGCCTGTACATCGTGACGTCTCAGAGTGTGCAGCATTAATTCATGACAAAGACTTACAGGTAGCCCGCTCTATTGTGAATGTGCAACTTCATTAATATGCATGCTCGCCTCGAAGACTGTTTGTACCTGTTACAGTGTTTAGACGGCAGAGAGACTCCATTTTTGTTGCCAAAACAAGTGCAGGAATAAGAATTTTTTGGCGACATGGTCATCAGTGTTTTGTTTATAAATGTGCTGCGAAAGTTTTGTTTTATTTCTCCTCTATGAAAGTGCAGCTGAACTTGCGTGTGAATTTCAATGCATGCGACACGCGACAGAAATAAGTTCGTAAGGAAAATTTTTTACCAGAAAGCTTTTCGCATCTGTAAATGGTGAAACCCGGATTTGCCGCTTGTCTCCTTTTAAAAAAAGACACGGTTCCAGTTTGTGTTAATTGTCAAGTCTCTACTGATTTGGTATGTGTATGCGATCAGTGTTCTTTGTTTTTTTATTCAGATGGCAAAGTTAGTTAGTATCGTAAGCAGTACTCTTTCAGTTTTTAAAGACATACCTTAGTCAAAATTACGTTGTTACCAAGTTTACAGTGCGTTAATATCACTGCTGCTCTCCGAGTGTAAACATGGAATCACCTTAATCACACTATTACTGTCGTGTAGAATTTTCCAAATTTTGTGACAGGATGGTCTATACACACACTGCTTTCTTACGCTACCTACAGAGGTCATCTAAGTTACCGAGAAATGTGTAGTTTTTTTTCTCCAAGTGAAAGTGCCAAACTGCAGTTAAAGTCGACAAATTAAGAGTTTGGCAAATAATTTAATTACTGATTTCTATGTAAAGACAGTCACTGTGTTTCTACCCTGTGTCTGTGTTTGCTTTGCCTCTGTGGAAATCAGCGCGTGCCCAAACAGAAACTACCATTTTTATGCAAAACTTTCCTGACTTTTTTCAAACTAGAGATGTGAAAACACCCTGCCAAGACGGGGGTTTCCTGGCCCTTTAAGATTTATATTTATCTTTGTTTTTTACTCTTTTTGTTCTATAACATTTTTTATTTTAATTTCAATTTAATTTTCTTTCTATTTATGCTATCATGTTTTCTTTCTCTGTTAATTATCTTAAGTAGTTTCCACTCATTGCCATTCATGGTCTGGTAAAGTCATGTTAAATGCAGCAGTAAAAGGTAAGAATTCAGGGTGATCAACATTTTGGTTCTTTGCACAGTGTCTTATCATGGCATGGCAGTGATTTTTTGTGAACTATGCAATAGCTACTTCTGATCCTCTGATTTTATTCTTAAATATTGCTGAAATTCAGAATGAAAGAAGTGTGTAATGTTTAATGTGTGTTACTACTCTTGAATGTGCTTATATGGTCTAATTGCCAAATTGGATCTGGTACGTAAGTGAAACAGTGTTTTTTACACTAGGTGAATCTGTTGTAGCCCAAATCCATTTTCAGTTGTTGCTGGCTGCCACTGCAATATTGTGCCTGGATTTAAACTCACCTACACCTCTATAACCTGTTGTGTGTATTTTTGCATTCATCACAATAACAAAGAGTTTGATGTCACATGACTGTCATCCCTGCTTGTCTCTCATGAAACTAATATTCTGTTTAAAATAAATTGCCACAGTAAAGACCCTTTTAAAGATTATTCACACAGAATAAGTTTTTCTCTCACTGTACTTTTTTGTTGTTTTAATTTTTGTATTTATCTAAGCAAACACTCACTAGACAGACAAAATTGCAGTGCATTACTTTAAGAACAATAAGATACAGTTCAAAACTATTCTGCACTCCTCACAACTAATAAACGAATATTGTAATGGTGAAGAGGAATATTGTGTGAATCACTTTAAAAAAAAAAAAACTATTTAGTTAGTAAATAAGGGAAAGAAAACATATAGCTGGTTAGATTAAGATAGGCTATTCCATAAAACACCTAACAGGCTAAGAATCTTTTTGCTAATAGCCCTTGTGTTTCCCTTTTAAATGTAAGGCTGTTGCATAAATAATAAAGTTTTAATTAATAAGTGACATTTCTCTGCACCGTCCTCTTTGATGTTTTGATAACGCATAATAATCTTTACACCATATTAAAGACACAGCAGCCAGTAAAGGTTGTTGAGAGTTTTTGTCAAGCTTAAAAGGTGTGTTTGTGCCATATGTGCACGTTAAAACTTAAAAGCTTGTAAGTGAGTGTGAGGCCGGGCATAAGAGTGCTCGCTTGACAGCTCTGTTGATGCCGCGAGCGGCTTCTTTTTAATTTATCTTGGAGATAATACAAAATATGAATACAACAGAAAGACATAACACTTTACAAATTACTTGTCTACTTTCATAGGCTCAACACAACAATGCTGTGATGGCCAGTGTGGTGGCCACACATTGAGAGTGAGGCATGCACGCACACACACACACACACACACACACACACACACACGTTATACTTATTCATTTAAGATTATTTATTGGTTACAGTTCAGTTATTGTGTTTATACATTTTCGTTTCATTCATATCTGATTTAAATAAGACTCATACACTTTCAGTTTCTCATTACCTTTCTTTATTATTCACAGTACATTTATTACTATTTTGGGTGCACACAAAATCAGTTATCTGTACTGTATGTTTTGTTAATTTAGTTTTCTTTTGAGTTTAAGTTACCGTGCTGCAGTGCCGACGAGGAACAGTTTCCGGGTGTGGTCCGCCCAAGTAAAGGTCCGACGTGCCGCGAGATGCCGTCTTTTGGTTCCGCCTGCCGATACCATTGGCTTAATGGCTTGGAGGGAGAGCTCATGTTTAGTTTAGGTTCAATAATGATTTGCAATGTTTGTTTATTCAGATTTATATTTAGTTTTGCCTTATTTATAATTTCTTTAACTTCTATTTAGATTTGTATTTAAATGTTTGGCTTAGTTTATTGTATTTGTAAATTGTTTGTTTTTGTCTCCCCCTTCTTGTTTAATGTGGACTAGTCCCTGTGCTATAAATGTGGTCTGTCTTGTCATTTCATGGAGTTCTGTTTTTGGTTTAGACATGATTTGTTTGGTTTGAACTCAGTTTGTTTTCCTTGTTTAGTTTATTGTTCTTTCAATTGATTTAATTATTTAATTAATTTATTTTTGAACTTTTTGTAAACCTTTTTGACTTTATTAAAAATAATTATTTTTGAAAATCTTCTTTTTTGTATGCCCCTTACTGTACGTGCTGGCTCGGTCCCTCACAAGTGGTGTCAGAAGTGGGATTTTGCCAGTAGGGGGCAGAGTTTTTTTTTCCTTGGTGAACTTTCTGGGCCATGAACCGAGGAGGACGAAGAGGAGCCCCAAAGGCTGTTTCAGTGGAGCAACTGGATGAAGTTGCACAAGAGCTGGGGGATAAAGAATTACAGGAGGTGAGAGAATTTGATGTGGAGACTGAATGCACAGAACCAACAATAGCTGACTTGACAGGCTTGTTGAGAGCTCACATGGCAAAAATGGAGGCTCAGGAAGCACAAAGGATTGCAGAGCTGGCCCAGCAGGAACGCCGATTCAAAGCTCTCCATCATCAGTTTGGGCTGTTGCAGCTGGAGGTGCAGGCCCGCACAACTACTGTTCCAAATACATTGGTAACATCTCATGATGATTTGGATCACCCAGATGAGGGTGCTGGTCCAAGTAGGCCATTATCTCAGTCAAGTACCTGTCGGAGAGAGGGAGCTGAAGCCCGTGATACAGGTCAGTGCCCACTCAAAGAGCCTAAATTGGAAAAGTTGTCTGATGGTGATGATGTTGAGCATTTCCTAATTACCTTTGAGAGAATGGCAGCAGTTTGCCGATGGCCAAAAGAGGAGTGGGTATTTCATCTGATTCCCCTTCTGACGGGTAAGGCCCGGGCTGCTTATGTTCACATGGATGTTGATGAATCTTTGAATTATGATGAACTTAAATCTGCAGTATTAAGGAAATATGACATCAGTCGAGAAACCTACAGGCAGAGGTTTCGGTCTCTTGAAGTAGAACACCTTGAAAGCCCTAAAGAACTATATGTGAGGTTAAAAGAACTGTATGGGAAATGGATGCAGCCAAAAAGTAAGTCTATTGAAGAAATTGGTGAAGTGATCATTCTTGAACAATACTTGAGAATGTTGTCTCCAGAGCTACAGGTGTGGGTACGAGAACATGATCCACAGTCGGCTTCACAAGCGGCAACACTGGCAGATGTGTTTGTGGCAGCACGTCAGAGAAATCAGTCCTGGTGGTGGAAATCCAGCCGAGATGACCGGAGAGCAAATCCTCCCCAGCCATCTATGAGAAACTTCCCTGGTGCTGGTAAGCCTCCTGGAGGAGGGCCCGCATTTGTCAATGCTCCTAAGAATTATAGGAAAATGCCAATATGTTACCTATGTAATCAAGAAGGTCATACCAAGCCCATGTGCCCTAGAAATGTAATCAAGAATACTCACCTGTGTTATGTGCCCAGGCATCTTGCAAAGCCAGCCCCTAAAGCTGAACGCTCGCCAGCAAGCACCACTGTTGAGATTAATGGAAAGGAAATGATTGCTTTGGTTGATACCGGGAGTGATCAGACTTTGGTACACATGAAGTGCATTTCTCCAGCCCTCCTTCGCTACACCAACCTGAAGGCTGTCCGCTGTGTGCATGGTGACGAAAAGCTGCTACCCACCGCAGAGGTCTATCTGAAGGTGAGAGGTCAGACTTACTACTTGGAGGTCGGTGTAGCTGACAACCTACCTTTCCCTGTAGTCTTGGGGCATGACCTGCCAGTACTGTGGGACTTATTGCAGCCACCATCCACCTGTAACATGGTTGTTACTCGAGCCCAGAGCCATAAGAGAGACGAAAGTAAAGAGTTGCTTGCTACGCTACCATTCTTTGATGCAGAAATCGATGGCTCAACTAAACCTAGGAAATCCAGACGACAGAAACGGTTTGAGAAAATCCAATATAATGCTTCCGTAATGCCTGTTGATAAGTTTGCTGAATTCTCACCCAAATTTAAGCTGCCGGTCAACATTATGCAGATGCAACAAGAGGATGCCAGTCTTGTTCCTTATCTGGAGAGAGCAAAGCAGGAGGATGGAAAAACTGTTGATGGAGAGACAAAGGAAAGATTTTGTATGTACCAGGGTCTACTATATCGTCAGATGGGACAAGTGACACAACTGGTGGTACCACAGTGTGTCCGTGAAGTTATCCTTACTCTGGGTCACTCGATTCCTTGGGCTGGCCACCTGGGGAAACGTAAAACCATCGCCCGGATCAGAAAACACTTCTATTGGCCTGGTCTGAACTCAGAAGTAGCCCAGTACTGTAAAACCTGCCCTGAATGTCAAAAAGTGTCCTCTGACTGCCCAAGGCGGGTCCCTCTCCAACCACTGCCACTCATAGGCACTCCATTCGAAAGACTGGGAATGGACATAGTTGGACCAGTGGAGAAAAGTCGTTCGGGTAACCGATTTATGCTTGTAGTGACTGACTATGCCACTAGGTATCCTGAAGTGTTTCCCTTAAGGTCAGTTAAGGCCAAGTACGTGGCTACCTGTCTAGTGCAACTGTTCTCCAGAGTTGGCTTTCCAAGTGAAATTCTAACCGATCAAGGGACTAATTTTATGTCGAATCTTCTGAAGCAGGTCTATAGGTTGCTGGGCATCAAGAGTTTGAGAACCACTCCTTATCATCCCCAGACAGATGGGTTAACCGAAAGATTTAACCAGACGTTAAAGCAGATGCTACGCAAGTTTGTTGGTGAGTCTGGCACTGATTGGGATCAATGGCTCCCATATCTTCTGTTTGCCTACAGGGAAGTGCCACAAGCCTCCACTGGATTTTCCCCGTTTGAGTTGCTTTATGGTCATGAAGTCAAAGGTCCTTTAGCATTACTCCGAGAAGTTTGGGAGGGAAACCCACAGAGAAATGATGAAACTAATGTGGCATCCTATGTGATTCAGATGAGGGAACGTTTGCAAAAGATGTCTGCACTAGCTCAGTCTCATTTGGCAGAAGCTCAAACACGACAGAAAACCTGGTATGATCAATCCGCTCGGGAGCGGCAGTTTGAGCCCGGTCAGAAGGTACTTGTGATGTTGCCCAGTCATGAAAGTAAGCTGCTTGCAAAATGGCAGGGGCCATATGAAATTAAAAGGAAACTAGGTCCTACCACCTATGAAGTTGCTC